CAGTGTAACCGCCTAAATTTAACGCCTGAAGAATGTTTAAACCACTACATTATGGGCTTGCGCAAAGAAATTAAGGAATATGTAGGATTACAAAACCCGACCTCGTTAAAAGAGGCTGAAAATCTTGCGAAATTAAAAGAAGTCTGGTCGTCAGAAACACAAACGGCACCAGTTGATTCGAAGGAAATTTCAAAAGAAATAATCAAAGAATTAAAAGGCGCAGGAATAGCTACACCAAGTCGATCCGAACACATGACGACCGCAGCAATTTCCGCGACGCCCACAGCCGTTAGCAATTTCAATTCTTTTGACAGTGCGCAAGACATGTCTTACGGTAGAACAKCTTATCCTAGCCTTCCGATGCGCGCGCAACAAAATTACAAGTATCCTTTGCAAGATCAACAATATAGCTCTTTTAACAGCGCATACGAAAGTCCAGAAAGTAGTGTAAATTATCCTACCTGTTCATTCCCAGCGAAACAAGCCTATCAAAAACCCGATCAACAAGGTGACGCTCAGCCTGATATCAGAGAAATAATCCGCGAAGAAATGAGAAAACAATCRCAAAATAGATATAGAAACCCAAGGAATTTTGGACGCAGAACTCAAACCGGAGTTATAATTTGTAATTACTGTCAGAGACCCGGTCATGGATTGTACAATTGTAGAATTTATAACAGCCAAAATAGTCAGCAAAACCAAAATCCTTGTAGACAAAATCAGAACCAAGGCACAAATAGACCTGCCAATCAAAACCAGAATTTCCCTGCCCAAAGGAATCAGAACAGTCAGCATACTGTTCAAATATTTCTGCCTTTGCTGCTGGGTCTCCAGCAGATCCTGTTTCTTGCTGTGTCTCGGATGACTGGCTGGACTCCTTACTTGGGCTATAGTTAAGAGTAACAAGCTTCATGTTGGTGCATGTCGGTAGGCCTAGGATTGTAGGACCTGTTGTGTTTACAACATGGAATTCCTGAGGTGTAGATTGGCCATTGTGGGTCAGCATGAGAATACAGGTACCATACTGTTGTACTTCATGTCCACCATATGCCGYAATCATTGTWGTCGATGGGGTCAAGCCRAGGGGCTTGCCATCTGTGTTGGTGAGCGTTTCAGGGTATATAAGCTTGTAATCGCTGACAGGAATCACGTTTCCATCTGCACCAGTATCAATCTTACATTTCAGTGGCAATGCTCCGTGCGTAGAATTAACGTGTAGGGTAACAAAGGCTTGTGAGTTCTGTCGGGATATACTGTCCACAAACAATGAATTGAAATACAGTTGTGGCACATCTGAATCCTCTGTTTTGTCATCTGCATCATTATCCAGAGAATGTATTCGTTTCTTTGGTCTATTTCTTCTGTGTCTATTTGCTCTTCCTTTGGGGGCTTGGTCCTTGTTGCCTTTAGATACTCTAAAGTATCTGGGGCAAAGTATGCCTCTGCATACTTTGCCCCAGTGATTTTGTCGTCCACACTCATTACACTTTGTGCCGTACGCGGGGCAAAGAGTTCTCTGAGATGTATCATGGCATGTTCCACAGTTTCCACATGGCTGTTTTTTGTCATGTGGTTGTAATTTAAGCTGAGCTGGTTGGGGATTATGTTTCATTGCATGAACAGGTGTGAGGTTGGCACTTCCTCTAATATCCTGGAGCTGAGAGCTGGTAGCTTCTTCAGTCCTAGCTATGTCAATTGTCAATAGATTTGTTGAGTGTTAGGGAAGCGTCGTATTCAAGTAATTTGGCTTGCACACGTGGGCGGCATGAACCAAATATTAGAGCATCGATTATGTGCTCGTCTACACTGTCATATTTGGATTCACTAACGAGAATTCTGACCTTTTTGATGAAGGAATCGACAGATTCGTCTTCTTGTTGCTTCAAAGTACGTAGTTTATACCTTGCCAGTCGAAAATTGCTCTTAGGAGCGACATATTCCTCAAATKTTTTCCAGTACGTGCTCAATTTTTTCTTGTCGTCGTTTGTTAGCGACCATGTTGACACAAGTTCAATCCCTTCGTCTCCGGACCATATGAGCAAATAACTTACTTTCTCCTCCTCACTCTTGGAGCTGAGGGGTCCAGTAAAGACAGTAAAGTATAACTCTGCCGTTGCTTTGAACATTTTTAGGGCTTGAGGTAAATCAGAAGCGTTCCAGTCCATCGATGGGCTCACAGGCTTACCAAACATTCTCGTACCCAGACCCTACTCTGTCGGCCTCTAGCGGCCTGTCGTAGGCTCTGGGACACCCTGTAATTTCAAGCCACATGATTGGCTAATTCAAATAACAAACGGACAAGATTGTAACCGCGATCAAAAATTCAAATATTTGTAATTTAATATATCGGTACGTTTTTTTCGTGCATAGTATTCTTGCCTATTCTGTCCTCGAGGTGAAATAAAAACCTGCGTCATCATTCTTTGCGACATGAACCAAGGTAAAAATAGGTCTCCAGTAAATGATATTTCTCGCTGAAGTGAGGTTTAAGTGAGTCGAATTGGTGATGTTTGGGAGTTCTGCGGGCTGGAGTTGCCAGCCTTGTGTAGATTTACTTCACCGGGGCTCGCGATCATTTACCCATGAAAAACGCATCGCACTGCAAAAAGAACCACAAATCCACATTCAGAAAGCATTAAAGTTTATTTCTGAACTAAAAAACCAGAATATAACCCCCCAAAATAACCAAAATATCGATGTTGAAAATGGCCTAAATTTGAAAAGATTTCAACGGCTTTCGGCCGATAATCGCCATAGGAGGCCTGGAGCCGACTCTTCTCGATAGTTTGGTAAGCCTGTGCTGAAAACGCACGAGGCACGGGAAGACATRCGCAATCATGACATACATATATGACCGGAAATAACACACCGGAAGTAAAACTATAACAGCTGTTACTGAGATTGGGTGTCACGTGACCSGCCAATGCCAGGGCTATCTCTGTCCGCCATTTTGAAAAAAGCGAGCAGAGTGGCCCTGGGAACGAGGTTGGGTTTTGACGGAGTCGTTTTGACGCCATTTTGTAAAGACGAAATAATATAAAAGGCTCTACTAAAAATAGCCATTAAATAGCCTTTAAAATGGGTAGCCAATGTCTCGCAAGATAACAAGGATACATTGAGAAATCAAATAATTCCCGTTGAATGCCAATTCTAAAAAGAATCATCAATTGCAAACCACTCTGCCGATTAAATTAATTTTTAGGCCCGGGAGGGGGTCCTCGTCCGAAATTCTGAAAATGACCCCTAAAAGGGACCTGTATTGTGAGATGATTGGCGTGGCAGTGCTGAAATTTCACCCCTAGTAAAAAAAAAAAATCCTCCGGGACCGTTGAACGACTCAAATGCGGCATGCAACMCGGGTGAAATCCTACCTCAAGTTCGTTCGCGAAGAACAGGACAGTAGGTCTGCCTTCTCAAGCTGTGCCCTTGTTTTTCGTCAAGTTCTCGCGTTTAATCAGTTTCCTCAGGTCTGCTATGACTGCTACCTCCTGCCTCTCGGTGGCGGTTAGATACCCTTAGCCAGTGATGCCACCTTTTTCGTCGTAGACGTTTTCACAGAGGCCGCGCCTCAGATTTGGGTCATCTTGCTACTGACCAGGCATTCAAACTCAAAGATCGGGAGGGGTTTTAGCTACGGCTACGTTTACTAAGAACAGGCGAGGCGGTGCCCTTCGCAATTTCTTGTAAGGGCCCTTTGATAAATGCGAGGTTTGTCCCGTGGCGTGCATTACATTTCAATCATTCATATTTTATCTGATTAATATCTGATTAATATCAAASTTTGTGAGTTTTGTTTGTGAGTTTCTTATTTACAGTGCGATCTTTCGTTCCATACATGTAAATGTCTTATTTCCCTAACGTGCGAATTTAGTCAGCCACGGTATAAATTCAGGCAATGGAGACTAGTAGCTTTAAATATTAGTCAAGTATTTAGTTGCAGAATGACTTATTCTTTTCCCCACGTTTATTGTGGTTTGAATAAAATGGTTAGAGTAAACGGGTTCAACAATACACTCAGGCACTGTTGCGTCTAACACAGTAATCGAAATCTTCGTATAGAGAATGAACATGGTGTTATGGCTTTTTATGATTCGTGATAACATTTATAGTTCCAAAATTAAAACATCTCGCTTTCTTGTCCTGAGCTTTGTCCTAGAAACTTTGTCACAATGACAATCACTATWTTGTTCCATGATCTAGGACATTACGAGACTGTAAGACATTTGAATACATTTTTTTGAGAAGAAACAATTCAACTTGACGTCGAAAATCTGTGGATTCCGATGTTGTAGAAGGACTTGTTTTCCAAATGATCATCCATCATAAGTCTGTCACAAGTATATTACTACCGGCGGGTTGTGGGTTGTTATTTGAACTGAAAATAAAACACACAATCTTTAATTGCTTTTTTACGAACCGAGTTTTCTATACTTGGTTTTTCTCTCACTGCAAGGCTGTTGAGCAAACTGTGCTCTGTTCGAATAGTATCAATTTATAACAACTTACTTGGATAAATAAAAAAATATATAAATAATTAATAATGAATATTTACAATTTACATACTTAAAAAATTACCAAAAATGATTATGTAACCTATGACAACTATAAGACAACAACAGTCGAGGTTACCTAGGGCCTTTRGTACCATTATTAAACCCTAGCCGTTTTTCTCTTCCCCTCCCCAGCATCCCMGACAGACTGCACATATGGTGCTATTACATACCCCTTCTTCCCAGTCAATTCATACTCAAGGACGCGAACGTCTGGTAGGGAACTGCGCCTTCTGAAAGTCAATTCATAATAAACGATTTTTGATATTCATATAATAAGAAATTGCAATTATTACAAAAGAGAATGGAGAACTTTGATGAGCATACTTTTCCTGGTTTGCAATGCTATCCTYTGACATAGGGCAATTATGACGCTTAGTAACCTCACATTCGGAAACAGTGGGCGRAAAAACAGGAAAAGGTCTTTGAGCATCAAGTTCAAAATGCCTATAAAAGCAAAAAATTATCATTTACATTATCATCATTTAGGCACCATGCACTAGAGACAGGCAGGCTCAAATTACTCAATATTCTCTATATGCTCATACAAGCAATGCACACTATACATGACTAGTGAAACATAATACCGGTAAGTTATTTTGTCATTGTCTTCATTTAAGTCAGGAACACAAGTAGCACTTGTGACAGCGATATCGTCGACGTTTCTCTTGTGCTTAATTGGGTTGATTGTATAACCAGAGTCGACATTGGTTTCACGTAGAGCAGTCGTTTCCACAGGAAGGGTCTTGCTCTCTTTTCTATCTTCACTCGTCTGAGCTCGAATAGTTGTTGGAAGCGAAGACGACCTGAGCACTCCCTCTGAAATTATTATTGATATACATGAATCAATAAATATCATCTCCAATGTACATAGATACATACCATGTAACAACATTTCCAATAACTTGAATGAAAACCAACGCCCATTACACAGAATAAGAAAAGCTTTATCCCCGACMAAAATGACCGCCGTATCACTCATCACGTAGCTAGCTATTGAGTGTCTAATTAAGGGTGAAAGTGGCTAAACACCAACAAAAATCGCAAAATTGTTTTTGCTTGTATATTATTCAGATAGCGAATGGACTGAATATTGGAAAACGGAACAGCAATACCAAAATCAACATTATGTATTAAAAGTACAACATCAGCCATAAGTAAACATTATAACAAGATCAAGTCGCCAATGGCAACACAACTCGAAGATTKATTGTGTAGACGAACATAGAAAGATACGATGAATCAAATTATAATTACTTAACAAATAGAATTTTAAGTAAATGATTTATGAATATAGATTTTTTCGTTAAAATTTTTATTAATTTAGCTTCGGTTCTGGATAAACACGGGCGAGCGAAAGTGAGGTGAATCCCAGTCTACATGCAGTCTAGCTACAACCATGTAAAATTTGCGATCGTTGGGTAAATGCTGCCACGTCCAGAAGCGCTAAATCTGGATCCGAAAAACGAACAAAATCACCGCAAGTGCCAAAAAGCAATATCAACAATCCCTAAGAAAACACAACTTCGCCTCAACGTCAAACAACGGTCGATATCTCGGGAGTTCAATTAAAAGCAAACAATATAAACTTCAATAAACAGCCAATTGAAATTTTCTTAAATTTGATCATTAAGGAGCTTGTAAGCTTAAAAGTATCAATGATTGAAAAGGTCAATAGACGAAACATGTTTAATTAAAAGTCTTTGTTTTAGTGTGTCAAAAAAAAAATTGTTTAAAAAACAAGTTAAGGGACCATTTCTTAAAAATATCTGAGTCTGTCGGAGAGAGAAATTTGTGCTTTGGTACATTTTTGTTAAATCAAGTGTGGTTTAGTCATTTTAGTAATCTACTTGGATAACAAAGAAACTGTCAACTAGTAAGTACGCAAAGAAACTTTGTGTAAGTATCTATATACAGCAGATGTGTAGCAAATGTGTATTCATATTCTGTAAGCCACAAATTGTAGATTTAATTCAGATARWGTTTGAACTAGCGTGAATTAATGAAGGAGTACAAGAAAGAATATAGTCCCTTTGATTGCGAGCTGCGTAGARCTGGAAAATTCTACGACAGAGCCTTCAGTATTTGATTTTAATATTAACTTGGTTTCTCGATAAGCACGGGCCAGCACCTTCGTACAATCATTTTTGAAACGAATTTGGAGGATCGACCAGTCTTGTTTGCTTGCTTCGACCTTTGTGAATGAACGGTACGCGGATCAAATTATAATTACTTTACAAATAGAATTTKAAGTGAACGATTTAAGAATACAGTTTTCTTTTTCGTTAAAATCTAATTATTCTTAACTTTGATTCTTGACAACCAGGAGCGAGCACCTGCACTAAAAGACAAGTCTAACCGCAATTATGTAACATTGCTACGCGTGGCCGAGTCGTGTTAGTGCTTTCGATTTCWAAATCAGAGGTCTGAGGTTTGAGACTCAGGGGAGCTGACGTGTCTTTAGATTTCTTTCTTTGCCAAAAAATAAATAAATTTTATCAAATATAGAACAGGGAACCTGGKAACGTAAATYAATGAGTAAATTASTAGAAAACAATGAGAATAAATTAATAGTTCTGAACACAAGTAACGCAGGCTCAAGTTTACAGGAAATTGAGTGACTGAGTGAGTGACAGATTCGTCACCCTCCAATAACTCTTCGATTGCTTCGCAATCTTCGAGTTAAAAATGATATTACAGTAGCTCTGATCACCAAAAACGTAACATTAATCAGTGGCAAACTAGCGTAAGTTTTTATCATTTACCTCCTTCTGTTTGCTGGTTTGACACCTTTCGTGGAAGCTCTGTAGTGATTACAGCCTTTCCGGTCAAACTCGTAACCTTCATTGATTCAGACTTTTTCTTCAATTTGACTTTTCGAATGTCTGAACCTGGTCCTAGTACACAAAACAATAAAAAGAAATATATCAAAGAAACGACTAAAGCCTTTGTCTTGTTTTCTACAGCCTTTTAAGTCAATAAAGAGATATGATAAATACGATACAGTGTAGAACCGATATGGGTTTATTTATTCGATCAAATTACACATAAAGAATTACGAAAAAAGAGAAGAGATATGGGGAGCCCGAGAGGAGACTTCGTAWATTAAAAAATACYCCTAAAAGCACAGGGGGCCCAGGCTCAAYRGTTGTGTTGCTTTCACGGCGGTGTCAAAGTATTAATTGCGTGGTTCGCGGTTCGAGCCCTCATGAAGCCGTAAATTTTTTCTACTTCATTTCTTGAGACTTTTCAAGACTTTCTCTTTCTTTTCTTTTTTCTTTAATAAGTATAAACAGTTTTATGAATAAAGATTGATTTTTAAAGCCATTTTTATATTCCCCCCCCTCGTAAACGGCTTCATGAGGGCTCGAACCGCGAACCACGCAATTAATACTTTGACATCGCCGTGAAAGCAACACAACTGTTGAGCCTGGGCCCTCTGTGCTAACAGATGCTACTGTATTAGAGCAGTTTTAATTGTTCTAGAGACATCAAAATCGAACACCTTCTGATTTTAAGATTTAGCAAAATATTTCCTCCATTCTCATATCTATACAGATAACCTTAAAAATACCGTGGTCCAAAACCTTTAAAACACTCTAAAAGATAACAGATCCTTTGTGTTTTTGCTCCAAAAGATACGACAATCACCTCCGGGATATGGAAGATAATTTGATATTAAAGGTAATACATGCAAAACGGTGTGATTAGTGACTACGTTAACGTTTAGTTGATCACTGATTATACTCCCTGGTCATTGTATTAACTATGCCCTAGTTCACAAATTTAGATGGTCTAACAATGAAAAGAGAGGAGAAAAGTGAAAACACTCAAGTTGGCATTGGAATTTTGATTGTGGGAGTTGGTGGTATAAAGGAAAGAGGTCGTCAAAAGATTCGTGCCCGTGAAGTTCTCCCTGAGGTTAATTCCTTACTTACCAAAGTAGATGGGAGGTTTGAGAAGCCTCATTTGATTTATCTCATTGTGATGTTTGTCACCGTCATCATATTGTACATAGTATTTATGGTGTTCCATACCGATAACATTACCAGCCAAATATGCAGGCAAAGTAGGCCAATGTGCAATTACTCGTGTACCTACAACAAATTATAAAAGAATTGCTTCATTTGACAGACATTCATCTTGCAGAAATAACCTCAGACTATTAGAGCTATATATATGGCCGAAAAAACGAGAGGGAGTGTTTTATCAGGTATAAAGATTCGAGCCGAATGCGAGAAACAAAAATATCCATCTTCCTCGGATCGACTTGTCAAGCAACGGTATTTCCTGTTTTCACTCTTGAAACACACGACAACCATTTTCGCACACTCGCATGTCTTTATGATCCTTTTCTCCCTCTATCCTAATATTGCTGGTCGAAGAGTAATGATATTCACGGCAACACCGCAAAGTAAAAACGTCTGATATAGAAACTTCTAAATGCAGTTCACATTTAGAGCGCCAGCTTTCGGTTGTTTCYTTTAGTTTTTACTTAAATACGCTAAGTCAAACATTAAATTTACGTTGTGCAGGTCGAAGTTTAAATTCGTTATGGCTAAATTACTTGAGAGAGACTCACCAATTTGAATTTCACTAGGATCTGGATCAACATCAAACACAACACATTCAGTGTCATTTCGGTCATGCGCAATGGTGTCGCCATTATCAAACTTGATGTGAATCATCTGACCGAGTCCTGTAACAATTCCTTTGTAGAAATCMCCATTCAAGGCCTTTCCCCACACACGAGAGCCAACTCGAATGAAACCTAAACAAAAAAATCTTGACAATAGTAATTGAAAGTTATCTAATACACATCTTTGCGCGACTTCAGATGCTCTGATAWACTAAACACTGGAGTGCAKCCGCGAATCGCATTCTGGCAATGCAAATAGCGGCACAACGTCTTTAACTCAATRACTCCATAGCAYTGAATTTCGCGATAACAAACTCAACGAAAGAAAGCCTAAAACATGGGGTCTGCATGGCAGTTGGCGCGTGAAGACAGATTTGTGCTAACACTTAGTTAAGGGTAGTCTTCTCTCGCAGCCGTTATGAGGCTCGTTCCAGGTCTTTGGCAACAAGCCTCATAACTTCTGCGAGAGAAGACTAAATTAAGGGAAAGAGTTGGAAAGAAAATTGGAAAAAAAATTACCAATAGTAGTCCGTTTTGAAAATCGTTCACTACTGGCCCTGAAACAAAAAATTGTATTTTTGACATCTCATTAATCAACTGATTGAATAAGACACGGCTTGTCTTTTCACTATTCTATTTATCTTTACAACTACATGCAGGATATAAAGGATGTTTGCGGAGATATGGATTTTATCTTCGTTTCAGCGAAAACATCTCTCACGAGTGAGCGTTGCGAACGTTAAACGTCCCATAGTGATGATGGAATTAAAGATGTATAATACTCCAGTTTCGAGATCACATTTGTGCAGCCTTAACCTCGAAAGCATGTAATATATTCTTTTATTCAGCAGAGATCCTATTGTTATGCAAACACTCTGTGTACAAAGACGACAATAACAATTTATGCTTGATTGAAGCTAAGCTTGCACAAAAGAGAATTCTAAACTGGAGTATTAAGGGTCTTTGATACATGACTAAGTTAAGGGAAAGAGTTGGACTGCGACGACGAGACTGGCCGTCGTCTTGGCGATCGTATCCGTGAACATCTTTATTTATAGTATTCGTCTTTATTTATAGTATTCGTCATAATTATCTTAATAAGCCTGTTTCCCGCCATTTTAACCTACCCAACCATTCACTTTTTAACTTTATTGTTTATGGTTTGTCTTTGATTAGCGGCGTACCTCGGGAAACATTGAGATTCTCGGGAAACAAAACTAACCGTTTCCCTTGGGAACAGTCATTAAGTGTATAATCTTCCAAGGAATCGCATCAGAAACTAATGAAATGGTATATGACGGCGAATATAAGTATGTTATCTTCCAAGGAATCGCATCAGAAACTAATTTATTATATATATAACGAGACTTTCATATAGTAAATGGCATAAATAGAAATCTGTATGCTGTGTTTGTTGATCAAAATTCCACATTTGAAGAGTTTATTAGTGGACAGGAAGGCAAACAAACTAAAGCAAAGTAAGAAGACATGTTTTTTTTCAAGGGAATTAAGTTTTTTTGCCATCCAGAATGAACATGAAAGCATGGAAAACATAAGCCAAAACTATAAACTTAAACGAACAGAAGCTTGTCCCGTTCGTGTTAACTGAGTTCAGGTCGTTTTATGCCGAGTTTTGATCGATTTCTGCAAAACTTAACCTAATCTCCATGCAATTTAGAAAGACATGACTTCAGTAAGACAAGAGATGTACCTGTAGGAAAGCGAATCAGCTCAAACGAAGAGGGAAATTGCAGCGCGTTATCTTGCATACCAACCAAGAGAAGTAGGTTTCTCGACGAAGAACTTTTATTTCTTACTCTASTAGCCTGTGTACAYCAGTTTCTCACCCCTCAAAAAATCGGGGAGAGAGACGTTCTCTCCCCGATTTTTTGAGGGGTGAGAAACGGATGTACACAGGCTATTACTCTACTCACTATAAAATTTCGCTAAAACTTGTACGCTCTTGCAGCTCCAGTGGAAAGTACGACTATTAATTTAGTTGTTTTTTTTTATCAAGTTTATTAAGTTCCGAATTATCTGTACATTTTAATTTTATCTACATAAGCTCATATTGAGTTTGTTTCTCATAATAGTTGAACAAGCTTATTAAAAAGTATGCCGAATGAAAGTCTCGTTATATATATAATAAACAGTTTATAGCATGGAAAGAGCTTTGTACGGGATTTTTATATTCACTCGTTGTTTGCATCATAAACTCACTCGCTCGTTGCTCGCTCGTTCGTTGTATGATGCAAACAACTCGTGAATAAAATCCCGTACGTCGCACTTTCCATGAAATAAACTATATGTAATGTTATATGACGGCGAATATAGACTGGACGATTCGGGATCATTTCGTGAGGGAGTCATGTATCAAAGACCTTTTTTCACTAAATTAATTCTATATTAAATTGATTATTTATTTAAGGAATAAAAGACGAAATTCCGTGTTTGATACTTTCGTCTTTTCGTCTTTTATTTCTTTTCTAAAATTAAAAGAAAAAAAGAAATTTTTGACGTGCGCGAGCGTGTTTTGATAYTGBAATCRAAMAWGGTTTTCGACCAATCACAGCGCGCGTAGTATCCTAAATATTTTAGAAAATACTTTGATTATCGTTAGATAGTAGTAGTTAGAAAAAGCTAGAAGTAACTGGAAAAAAGGTAGAAGTAACTTGAAACAAGTTGGAAGTAACTGGAAATAAGATAGAATACAAGGTAGGAGTACTTCCTCTGGTATCCAGTAACTGCACGTGGTACAAATTACAATCAGGGTTTGGCTGGATACCTCACGAATAATTAATGAGTATGAGAAGGAGTGTTCCAGTAGTTTTAATGTTTTATCTCGGACTTTCAGTTCAAAGATTTCAAGTAGTAACACAAATAATGTGTACATATGACATAACGATTTTAGAATAGTACTGTACCTTTTAAACTTCATTGATTTACGAGAACTCATGCGGGCATCTCTTTGAGTCTGGTACTCTGTTCTTCCGCTGAAAAAAAATTATAGTTGAGCCTGACGTCTCGAAAATCGTATTGTTCCTGACTTTTTGACTGTGTGTACTTGATTTCATAAGGAGAGATGTATGAGAAATGCCAGTGCATTTCACAGGCTAATTATCCATCTCAAAGTTAACACCCCTTTTGTGTTCAAATTTCTCATATACACATTCATTTCACCTACCTGTATCTAAATCGTGATCCAAATCGGAGAAAACTTGAMGTTCTCTTWGGTCTGGCAGAAGTTTTGACCAATCTATTGAAAAATGATCGAAGAAACAAATGCATAATATAAGACATTAACACCCACAAGCAATTGAATAAAATATAACTGATACTATTCTCATCTCAAGCTGCCAAGTTGTGACGTTAAGTGATGGAGATTGAGTAACTAAATTCTATAATAATGGTGCTATACCGGAAGAACGTATGGTGCTCAATAGCACATTTCCACAAATGCTTTGCTGCTTGCGCATTTGGTAATAAGTAGTGATATGTCTCATGCATCTTCTGATCCTAATAACGTAAATTGTGGTAAGAACATCTGGAAAATCTTTATWTAATGAATAAATGAATACAGGGGAGTACCCAGAGGTATCCACAAGAATCGGGACATATATAAAATACAATAATGTACTAATATATTATAAAAAAATTAAAGTTACTTATCAAAAGCACTATCAATGAAAATATTTTGTRCTWTAATTGGTTCTATAAAAGAATATCYTTGCTCTGTTTGTAGCACAGGGACCACCTTAAAATAATGCATAGTCAAATTACAACATGCACAGATTATGACACCTAGATCTATCTAAACAGTCTAGGACGATCTCAAAAGGATCTGGAAAGGTTATCAAGTTGTAAATACATAAGATGTTATGAGATTTACACCTTATTATAGAGAGTGTCTGTAAAACACAGAACACCCCGGAACCCCCCCGGACACCCCGGAACCCCCCCGGACACCCCGGAACCCTCCCGGACACCCCGGAACCCCCCCAGAGCACCCCCGGAACATATCGTAACACCAAAAAAACAATAACAAATAAAATAAAGTGAAATGTGAAATGAAATACACAAGAAATACACAAGAACATGAATAAATGAATGATTAGTCATCAGAATAATAAAAGTGGGCTATCGTACGACCTAAGTCATCCTGTCAAAGAAAATGGAGATATGCAGTCCAAATTATTCAATGTTTATTTCCACTGCAATGAGAAATGCATTAGAAAGAAAGAGCCCTACATGTATTTTAGCCTGCAGTTTTGCTTAAGCCCTCCTTACATTCAAAGCTATAATGACCTTATCAAGAAGGAGCTTGGTCTAGATAAGACTAGATAAGACTGATAAGGTTTAGATGAACACACAGATTGGGTCGACATTGTCGACAGCCCACTTTTATTATTCTGATTGACTTATCACACAGAAAGAATTGAACACCAAGCGTAGTGATTAGTTGTTTAAGCCTTGTCTTCAAGGCTTTTGTGCTCGGCCAGTGAGCCATATTTCGAAAGTTGGCCATTGTGGTATAAATTAACCTTATTAACTTTTAATTGAAGATTCAGAAACTTCAACGTGGGCAAATTAACATTAATGTCAATTGAATTCTGTTATTCGATATCCCTAGTACCTTGTTCATGTTCATTGGTTAAGTAATTGTCAGCACATCGATAAATTAAAAGGAAATACTAAGTCTATTGAACAAC